GGAGCTCCGGTCAGTGTGTGTGTGTCTGTCTGTCTGTCCCCGGAGGGTGGGGAGCTCCGGTCAGTGTGTGTGTGTGTGTCTGTCTGTCTGTCTGTCTGTCCCCGGAGGGTGGGGAGCTCCGGTCAGTGTGTGTGTCTGTCTGTCTGTCCCCGGAGGGCGGGGAGCTCCGGTCAGTGTGTGTGTGTCTGTCTGTCCCCGGAGGGTGGGGAGCTCCGGTCAGTGTGTGTGTGTGTCTGTCTGTCTGTCTGTCCCCGGAGGGCGGGGAGCTCCTGTCTGTGTGTGTGTGTGTCTGTCTGTCTGTCTGTCTGTCTGTCTGTCTGTCCCCGGAGGGTGGGGAGCTCCGGTCAGTGTGTGTGTGTCTGTCTGTCCCCGGAGGGTGGGGAGCTCCGGTCAGTGTGTGTGTCTGTCTGTCTGTCCCCGGAGGGCGGGGAGCTCCGGTCAGTGTGTGTGTGTCTGTCTGTCCCCGGAGGGTGGGGAGCTCCGGTCAGTGTGTGTGTGTCTGTCTGTCCCCGGAGGGCGGGGAGCTCCGGTCAGTGTGTGTCCAGGGGTGGGAGTTGGAGGTGTCAGGCGAGCCTCAGTGGGCTCACGTGGTAAATGTAGGGAAAGTGAGGAGTTCTGGATGGGGTGCTCCAGAGGATCATTGTAGAATCAGTGGGCCGAATGGTCTGTATCTGCACTGTAGGGTTTGTATGAGGCCCCCTAACACTGACTGTACAGTGGGATAGAGAATGAATTAGTAGATAATGAAGACATGTGAAAACTGCAGTACAGCAATCATAAGTGACTTCAGACTTCAAGTGACTGATATAATCCAGTGATTTCAACAGTGGAGATTTCATTGGGGCATACAGTGTAGAAACAGGTCCTTCCTACCCTTCAACATGTACTTGGCTTGTTAGTCCTTCCAAACTGCATCTCCTCACTTTTCAGGATTAAATTCCAATAGGCACTGTTCAGGCCATCTGACCAGCCCATCTGTGTTATTCAATAAACTAAGGCTCTGCTTCTCACTCTCTACCACACCACCATTTTTTTGTATCACTTGTGAACTTGCTGATCCTACCTCCAACGTGCATGTATACAACAAAGTGTAAAGGACCCAACATTAAACCTTAAGGTATGCCACTGGATGCAGATTTCCTGTCAAGAAAAACTCCTTTGGCAATGACCCTCTGCTACTTGCAACTAAGCCAGTTGTGGATCCAACTTACCCTGGATTCCATGAGCCCTGAACATCCTGACCTGTCTGCCACATGAGACCTTGTCAAAGTTTGACTGAAGCCACCGTAGATTACATCAGCTGTGCTACCCTCATCGACACACCTAGTCACTTCATAGAATCATTTTCTATAGTGCCTATGTTCACTTTGACCTCTCTTTGTACATTTAAAGAAATTCTTATTGTCAGACCTTGTATTCCTCACTAGTTGCCCTCGCAGATTATTTCCTTTCTCTTTATTATCTTTTTAGCCTCGTTTGCTGGATTCTGAATTTATCCCAATCTTTGGGACTATCGCTGAGTTTTACCTCATATGCTTCATCTTTCAACTTAATACTCTCCTTAACTTCCTTGGTTAGCCAAGATTTTGGTTTATCTCTCTCTTAGATGTTTCCTCCTTACTGGGATATAATTTTGCTGAGAGTCATGAATTAGCTACTTAAATTTCTTCCCCTGCTCGTTCACGGCCTTTCCTGGTAGTCTGTCCACCCAATTAACTTGAGTTGACCTCATTTCATTGTAATTTCCTTTAACTTAAACATATTTCTTTCCCGAGTCTCTCGCTCTCAAACAGAGTATTAAATTCGATCATCTGATGATCACTACTTTGTCGGGAATTTATTACTCACAGGTCATTTATTAAACCTGCCTCGTTACCAAACATAAGACAGCCTGTTCCCTGGTTAGCTCCTTGATACATTACTCTAGGAAACATCACTAGGGCACTCGCTGAATTTGTTGTCGTAGCCACCCTTTTCAACTTGATTAACCTAATCAACCTGAAGATTAAAGTCACCTGTACTTATTGCTGTATTTTTTTTACATGCTTCTATTATCTGTTGATTTTTACCCTTTCGTATAGTGTGGCTGCTGATTGGGGTTGTATGCACTACACTTACCAACAGCATCTGTGAAGAGAAATCAGAGTTAACCGAGTTCTGAGGAAGGGTCACTGGACCTGAAATGTTAACTTTGATTTTTTTCTTCACAGGTGCTGCCAGACCCACTGAGGTTTTCCAGCAACTTCTGTTTTTGTTCCTGATTTGCAGTTCTTTTGGTTTTTTTTTTAGATTGGCATTGAGTCAGTTCAGAGAAGGTTCACTGGGCTGATCCCAGGTATGGACCGTCTTGTGGGAAGAGGTTGGGAATGTTGGGCCTGTACCAATTGGAGTTTTGAAAAATGAGAGATGACATTGTGGAAACACAGAAGATTCTTAGGGCACTTGACAGAGTAGATGCAGATGGGTTGTTTGCCCCATGGGAGTGTTTAGGACTTAATCCAAGAATAAGGGGTCACACATTTAAGACAAATGAGAAGGAATTTCCTCTGCCAGAGGGTGGTGAGTCTGAGAAATTCTTCACTGCAGAGGGTCGTTGAGGCTGGGTTGTTAAATATATTCAAGGCTGAGACTGGATGGCATGGTGGCTCAGTGGTTAGCACTGATGCCTCACAGCACCAGGGACCTGGGTTCAATTCCAGCTTTGAATGACTGTCTGCGTGGAATTTGCATGAGCTTCACGTGTTTGGGTGCGTTTCCTCTGGGTGCTCCAGCTTCCTCCCACAGTCCAAAGATATGCAGGTTAGATGGATTGGCCGTGCTAAATTACCCAGAATGTCCAGGGATATGGAGGCTAGGTGGATAGCCGTGGGAATTGCAGGGTTACCGGGATGGGGTAGAGTGGTGGGTCTGGGTTTGATGCTGTTTAGAGGGTCAGTGTGAACTTGATGGGCTGAATGGCCTACCTGCAGACAAAAGGGATTCTATGATAACAGATTTTAATCAGTAAGACAATCAAGGGTGTTGGGAAAAGGCAGGAGACTGGAGTTGAGGATTGTCAGAACAGCCATGATCTCACTGAATGGCGGAGGAAACTTAATGGACAGAATGGCCTACTCTGCTCCTACAGCTTGTGGTCTTGGGTGGGGGGCAGGTGTGCGAGTGAGGGGGTGTTAGTATATGTATGTCTGCTGTTATTTTGATGGTGGGTTGGGGTTGTGCTATAATGATGGAACATTATGGTTACACCTGGCAACGAAAGGGTTAACATAATGATTGTTCTGACCAGCTCGAAGGATATGGCCATTTTAGCCCAGCTGAGTGCCCGGTACTCAACACAGAAAGATCCCAGAGTTGAACTGGACTTCAAGCAACGGGGGAATGCACAGTTCAAGCTGAAGGACTATATTCAGGCTGTGGCCTTGTATTCAAAGGTACATTTGGACACTACTAACCTGGTCCCCACCTCTGAGCCTACAGCCACTGGACGGGATATTGCTGACCCCTGGATTCATCCCCGAGAAGGCTGGTAATCCCAGGCTACATCTGCATGGTCCAGGGGGAGCCCAAACAGACCCTTAAACTCTGGTTCTGAGCCCTGTCCTCCTGCGTGGTGTGGGGGCATTTATTACTAGTTGCCTCACATGTTGGGCCTTCTGACAGTGTGTCTCTCTCTCTCTCTCCTCTCTCTCTCTGTTTTCAGGGGCTCCGCCACAGCTCCACACACTCTCCCCAGGCCGCACTGCTGTATGCCAACCGCTCAGCAGCACTCTACCAGCTACAGCGCTATCAGGCAAGTCACACAAAGTCATCCTCACACCACCCTCCCTACCCACGCAGGGGCGGGAGTGGGGGTGGAGTCAGCCTGAGGGAATTGGAGTGGGGGAGGAGTCAGCCTGAGGGAATTGGAGTGGGGGAGGAGTCAGCCTGAGGGAATTGGAGTGGGGG